ATGAATATGAAATGTCCTTCTTTATCTTTTTTTGATTGATTTTAGTTTGTAATCTATTTTATTAGATACTAGGGTAGCTACCCCAGCTTGTTTCTTAGGTCCATTTGATTGGAAAATTTTTTTCCCAACCCTTTACCCTGAGGTAATATCTGTCTGTTGGTTTGAGGTGTATTTTTTTGTATGCAGTATAAGGATGGATTCTGTTTTCATATCCAATCTGTTAGCCTGTGTCTTTTTATAGGTGAATGGAGACTATTTATATTAGTGGATATAAATGATCAGTGATTGCTAGCTCCTGTTATTGTTCCTTTTGTTGTTGGTTATGGAATTGTGTGTTCAATTCCCTTCTTTAGGGTTTGCTGCTGTAAGCTCATCTATTTTCTGTGTTGTTGTAGACACAGGTGATTTCTGTGGTTTGGTGTTTTCCTTCTAGTACTTTCTGTAAGGCAGGATTTCTGGATTGGTAATGTTTAAATTTGGTTTTTATCACGGAATATCTTGTTTTCTTCATCTATGGTTAATGAAAGCTTTGCTGTGTAAAGCAGTCTGGGATGGCATCCATGGTCCCTTAGTGTCTGCATAACATCTGACCAGGACCTTCTGCCTTTCATTGTTTCTGTTGAGAAGTCAGATGTAATTCTGATACATCTGTCTTTATATGTTACCTGGCCTTTGTCCTTTGCAGTTCTTACTATTCTTTCTTTATTCTGTATGTTATTGTTTTGATTAATAGGTGGTAAAGGGATTTTTTTTTAGTCTAATCTATTTGGTGTTCTGTAAGCCTCATTATTTTCATAGGCATGTCCTTCTTTAGGTTGGGGAAGTTTTCTTCTATAATTTTGTTGAATATATTTTCTGTGCTTTTGAGTTGGACTTCTTATTCTATCCCTCTTATTCTTTGGTTTGGTCTTTTCTCAATGTCCCAGATTTCCTGCATGTTTTGTGTTAAATATTTGTTGGATTTAAATTTTTCTTTAACCAATGAATCTATTGCCTCCAAATTATGTTCAATGCTTGAAATTCACTCTTACATCTCTTGTATTCTGTTGTTTATGCTTGCATTTGTGATTCCTGATCTTTTACCCAGATTTCCCAATTTCAGAATACCCTCAGTTTGTGTTTTCTTTATTGCCTCTATTTCAGATTTCATGTCTTGAATTGTTTGCTTCACTTGTTTGATTGCTTATTCTTGGTGTTCTTTATGGTAATTGTTGATATCTTTCAATTTTTTTGTTGGGCTTTTCCTTTATTTCTTTAGAGAATTTTTCATTTTTTTTCTTTAAGGGCCTCAATTATCCTTATAAAGTTATTTTTACATTGTTTTCTTCTACTTCATCTGTGTTGGGATGTTCAGGTCTTGCTGTTGAAGCACCACTAGTTTACAGTGGTGCCTTTTTGCTTTTTATATTGTTGAGTGTGTTCTTACCTTGTTGTCTATGTGTCTCCTCCTCTAATCTGTATAGGTGGAGCTTGTGCTTCAGGGGTTCTCTCTTTCTCCAATTGGTATAGTTGGGGGCTATGACTCCATTGACTGCTCCTTCAGGCACAAGTAGAGTAGAGCTCCAGGTGAACGTTCCTCCTGGTAGAAGTGGGCCCAATGCTCAGGTGGTCACTCCTTAAGGTCCAGATGGGGCTACAACTCCGGTGAATGCTCCTCCCATTGGAGGTGTAGATGGGACTGAGGGCCCAGTGGTCCATGTTATAGCAGGGTATCTCCCACTGAGAAATGGCAGTGGATGCTGGCTGGGACACAGTGCTCTTTCCCAGAGGAAATTTGCAATAGTTTCTGGAAGCTACTGCCATAAAGCACTGCTGTTGCTTCAGCCAGGGATCACTCCTTGCTCCTGGGCCTGAGGCTGGGGCCTCCCTCTGATCCTGCTCCCAGTTCTGAGGCTCCTGGCTCCTTTGACACTGCTCTGGGCCTGAAGTTCTGGCCTAACTCTGATCCTGCTCAGGGCCTCAAATTTGACCTACCTCTGACTCTGCTCTCAGGGCTCACACAAGTCCATTTTTAGTCAAAGTATGTGTTACCTGTCAATGTTTGTTACCTGCCATCTTCAAATGGAATGCCTGGACTGCAATCCTTCATTCAACAGGAAAATATCATTGATCATGTTCCTTCACAAACTTTCCAGGGCTTTGTAGGTCCTTCTCAGAGACCAGTGTTCACACTTCATAATCACACTGTATTCACACCATCAATTTTTATAGCACCTACACGTTTGAGCAACTACTTTCAAGAATTGAGTACACAGGACTGGACAGATACCTGGAAGTCTTAATAGAACACACTGCTCTTGCAGTGGATCCAAGATCAGATCTGGGTACCCATGTTGAATTGTTCATAATCATTTGTAACTTAAGCTCCTGTGGCCTACAAGGGCACCTGTACTTACATGCATATACCCAAGCCAAGCACAAACACAAACACAGACACATCATCCAGAGGTAAAAGTCTTTTAGACAAATGTTTCTATATATGACAAAGGAACTATGCCTGTGAAATATCAGCAATATGACTGCTTAAACAAAACCTGAGCAATGACAGCACCACTTGACCTCCCAAAGTGGATAGAAATAGCAAGGCACCCCCTCCCAAGATGAAGAGCAACAGGAAATTATACACTGCCTAGACAGGGAGAAGTAATCTTTGCCAAAGATGAGCTCCCCTAATGGTTATCAAACCCCAAGTGGTTAAACCTAAAAGAAATACGATTTTTAGCCTAATAAACCCAATCTATAGGTTGGATTTATATTTTTATCTCCTTCCATGTTGAGACAGAGGGAAAAAGAGAGAATGACAATTAAGGAATAAGAGGCCTTGTATCTTAAAAGACAAACATGGTACGTACTCACTCATATGTGGATTTTAGACATAGAGTAAAGGATTACCAGCCTACAATCCACACTGCCAGAGAAACTAGTAAACAAGGAGGAACCTAAGAGAGACATACATGGTCCCCTGGAGATGGAAAAGGGTCAAGAGCCACTGAGCAAATTGAGAGCACAGGAAGAGTAGGGAGGGAGCTACGAGAATGAGAAGGGAAGAAGAGGAAGGATGCAGAGGTCATGAGGGAGCAGAAAGGTTGAGTCAGGGGAAGAATAGAAGAAAGGGTATGTGATAGGTAGGGTTTTAGAGTTGGGGGAGGACAGGAGGGAGAAGGGAACTGGGATTGTCATGTAAATCAATCTTGTTTCTAATACAAATAAAAAAAGATTTTTTTTTTAAAAGGCCTTGTATCTGAAGGTGATGGGGAATTGTGTGGAGTTCAAGGGACAAATGGGGGATATCATGATTATTTTTTTAATTTTTCTATCAATTCAAAGTGTTCAGCACACTAAGAATAAAATTAGAACTAAAACATCTCAGCCCTACCTTAGAAATTCACTGAGATCAGAGCTGCACCCATCAAGCCTGGGAGTAAAGCATTCCTAGCTCCAAAGCAATGTCAAATATCCCACCAGACTCATGCTGTCCTCCTTTACTGTATGATTAAATGTAGACCAAAATAAATTTTATTATTTATATGACTTCAATTTCTTATTTAGATATCACAAACATGGCGCCTTTTCCATGGTTTTGAAAGATTCTGTATAAATGGGCACCATACAATTAAGATTATTTTATTGTCTAGGAATTTTGTTGCTTCTTTGTATGAACAGATATTGTGTCACTTGCATATGGTCCCTTTTCAGGGGGGAATCATCTTCTTTCCTCACAGTTTGTATGAGTAATGTGTAGCCCAAAGCAGTTATCCCTTCACTGTGGCCCAGAAAGGCCAAAAGGATACACACCCCTGAACTGGAAGATTAATTCTGATCCAATTAATATCATGCAGTTCATGACTAAGACAAGAAAGTCTCTCTTGGTCATAAGTTTTGAAAGGAGTGAATTAAAAATTATCTGAAAAACATAGCGCTGTGGTGGCAAAGCACACACACACACACACACACACACACACACACACACTTGTTCTTAGGGCAAGGCCAGACTGTCTCCCATGTTCCAGAGTTGATCTCACACAGCCCTAACCACCTCATCCTCTAAGTACAGATTCTCAACTCACTCCAGTCAATATCTGCATTTTCACAGGCTGGATCCCTGTTGTCTCACTCCTGAATCTAGTCCTCTAAATAATCATTCCAGATCTAATCAAAGTCCTTGTTTATTATAGAAAATCCTAGACAACACCGGAAAACACCACTGCAGTCCTCAGCAGGGAGGCCAGCACTGATCCAATCTTATTGTGCATCAAATTCTACCCCGAAGCTCGTGATTAGAGATAAAAGCCCATACCTAACAAGCAGGTAACCATACATGTCATTGTTATTCGTTATTATACTTAACTGTGTATGGCTCTAAGACATGATCATTGGCCACAGGACAAACACTTGCTTTGGAGATTTCTCTGTGATGTCCTAGCAGTTTAGGAGAGTCAGAGTGAGTTAAGATGAATTCATCAGACTCTTCAAACAGATGATTCCACTGTATGATCAGAGTCCCAGAGGTTAATTAGATGCTGTACTGAAACTCTGCCTAGTCAAATATGGCTCTGTATCAAGTCTCACTGAGTACCCTATCAATTTGTTGTATATTATAGTGTTATAGCTATTTAATAGTCAATTGATTGTATTATTTAAAATGAAAAGAAAGAAACCAAAGAAACCAAATGAGATCTTACCAGATAGCACAGGATGTAAGAGATAAAAAAAGACAGACTTTGGTTCAATGCAGTCACTGAGGACTTCCTAGGGTCTCAGATCACCCGCAACCACAGCCTCAAACCCTCTTTTCTTGGTCTTTATCCCACCTTAGCTCATGCTAGTATGGTGGCCGTGTCATTTTACCCAACCAGAAATGTTCCTTAACTAATAGAGCCAATCAGAGCTAGGGTGCACAGGTTTAAATGCCTGTGAGGTCCCTGGGCACTCACCTTCTTCATCCCTTCAAGGGCCGTGTCTACTCTGTTCTCCTCCAACCTGAACAGCCTCCTGGGAAGATGTCACCAGTCCTGATTCTCTTGATCTTTCTTCTGCAAAGTGGAGCTGGTGCAGGTGAGTGAACACCCCTGTCCCAGAGGTGCCATCCCATAATACCTCTGTGGACTCTCTGCCCGGCTCTAGTCAGGAACTCTGCTGCACTGAACCAGGAGCTTTCTGAACCTCAGGTCCCATACCAAGCCCACACATGAGAATCTGTCACTGGCTAGATTCTCAACAAGGTCTGAGGAAGGGAGGTGTCCTCAAAAGACTTAGTGGACACTATATACTTTCTGCTCTTTCTGTCACCTGGAGAGTGGATCTTCTTAGACAGGGATGTTACAGAGAATGCAAAGATACTAAAATCTGTATCATTAACTTTACTTGAGCCCACTGAAGGGCAGCATTAATGACAAGCCCGGAAAGGGACAAGGACACCAACTATAGAATATTAGCATCATTTATGAAACTCCACCCTCAGCCTGCTGAAGAAAGAGGCCCAGGGTCACAAGAGCCCTACACTGCCCACTCTGCTAGCTCTGTATTCTAGTGTTGCCTGGCCCCTCCACTTGTGTCTGAGGTCCTCAGCTATCCCATCTTTGCCATCACACACTCAAATGTCCCTCAGGCCCTATATCCCATGAGCTCTGAGCCCCCAGCCCTCCAGCTAAGTAGTACTCATTCATTCATTCATTCATTCATGCTGCCAAATCATTACTGAAACCTAAGATGTATTGGATGCCAGAATAGGAGAATTTTAGAAAATCATCTTCCATAGGGCTTGGTGGGGTAAAAGGTGAAAAAATGGCACCAATGAAGATATTAGTGGGGTTGGGAAGACTAACAAAGAAATTATCAAGGCAAATCACACGAGATCCCCTTGGTCTCTACCAGGATGAAGACAGAGCTTGTCCCTTCATGTATTTGTAAAGAGGGACTCGAGTAGATGTGCTATCCACCCCTTCTCAGAGCAGGGCTTCAGCTTAAGAGTCAACAAAGATTGTTCTGTGTGTAAGGAATTCTGTCCACAACAGGCTTGGGGAACTGCAGATCCCATCATCTTTACCCTACCCAAGATCTTCCCTCCTGACCTCATCTGCTGCTCTCAGACACCCCATATTCTAGCCTTTTCTTTCAGAGGAGATCATCGGGGGCCATGAGGTCAAGCCCCACTCCCGTCCCTACATGGCATTTATTCAGTTTGTGTGTGATGATGTGGATATTTGTTGCTGTGGAGGCTTCCTGGTGCGAGACGACTTTGTGCTGACAGCTGCTCACTGCCTGGGAAGGTGAGGAGAAGCAGCAGGCCCACGTTTTCTGAGACCCCAACAGGAGCTTCTGTCCTCCACTGGTGGATGCTCCTGTGAGTGCTTGCTAGAAGGCAAGACTGTGAAAATGGGAGTCTGAAAACAGGAAAGTTTGAAGTCAAAGGGTGAGATGTCAGAGCCAGCAGCACACTTGGGTTGAAAACAAGGACACTGGCCAAACTAACACAGTGGTTGAGGTTGAGCACACACAGTAAGAGTCAATGCAAACTTTGGAGTATTGCTTAGAAGCAAGAGGGAGTAGTTCCCAGGTGTCTTGAGTCATTGAGAAGCAAAGAAAATCATCTCAAACCTTGAGACCCTCCTGTCTTCTCCAGTATCCTAGCTAGACCACCACCCTACCCACCCTGCCTTTTATTCCTCCTGGATAGTGTCCTCTCTCGCTCCACATCGCTCATCTCCACCCTGCTTTCTTCACAGTTCCATGAAAGTCACTCTGGGAGCCCATGATGTCACTACACAGGAGAAGACCCAGCAGATCATCCCTGTGGCTAAAGCCATTCCACACCCAGACTATAATCCCAAGGACCACTCCAATGACATCATGCTCTTAAGGGTGAGATCTGCCACACCCATCCACACATATCCCAACCCTAGTACCTGTTCCCTGCTTGCCACAGGGCTTCTCCCTCCCCTCCTGCTCTCTTCCTGCTTTTCCTCCCTGCCATCCTGGTTTTCCGAGTGTCCCAGGCCAGCAGGCTCCTGGCTGAGCTGCTCTCTCCTGTCTCTTCCCCAATAGCTGGAGAGGAAAGCCAACAGGACTAAAGCTGTGAGGACCCTCAAGCTTCCCAAGGTCAATGCCCAGGTGAAGCCAGGGCATGTGTGTCGCCTGGCTGGCTGGGGGTTAACATCTTTCAGTGCCACTAGAGGACCTGCTGACCTCCAAGAGGCTATATTGATTATCCAGGAGGACCAGAAATGCAAATCAAATTTCCACCACTACTCCAATACCACACAGATTTGTGCTGGAGACCCGAAGAAAACACAGGCTGCTTTCAAGGTAGGTTCAAGCATTTAACAGAAAGAATTCAGAGAGAGGAACCTGGGAGAGGCCTAGTTATGATGATGGCCAAATCCTCAAGTCTCAGCTCACAGCAGTGACATCCCCAAATCCAGCTTTGATACCTTCCCTGGGTTAGCAAGATTGGAAGATGGAAAACATTCACCATCCCAAAGCAGAATAAAGTATCCCAGAGCATCCCTGAGGACTACAGGGGAAGCCTGGGACTGAGCTAGAAGGAAAAGGGAATTTGAAAAACTGTCCTGGCAGTGACCTAACAGTTTACCTTCCCAGGAGAAGGTAAGGAGAGCAGATCCAGGGGAAACAGGCTCAATTCTCCCTTTCACTGTCCACAGGGTGACTCTGGGGGACCTCTTGTGTGTGACAACAGAGCTTATGGAATTGTGTCCTTTGGAAACACCGAGAGCATCTCTTCAGGAATCTTCACTAAAGTCGTGCCTTTCATGCAATGGATAAAAAGAAGCATGAAGCCCATCTAACAGGTGGTCAAAACAAAACAAAACAACAACAAAAATAGCTGTGTCTGACCATCTTGTCTGGACACAGGCAATGCTCACATATAGTGGGCACCAAAGGCTGAAAATCCATAATAAATTGCATTCTCCACAATGAATACAACGGGATTCCTGTGTTGTTGGAGCCCCTGTCCTGTGCACACCTCTGGTCGAGACAGACCTCTCATGTCACTTTGGGCTTTGCTTCCTTCATCTTCCCCAGCCCCCCCTCAAACTGAAACTTCAGGCAATTACCACATACTTATCACCCATACATGGTGTAGGTGAACAGGTTGTTTGTTTGCTTGTTTGTTTATTTTTTGAGATAGGATCTAACTACATAGCACTGTCTGACCTTGACTTTGCTATTTAGTCCAATCTGGTTTTAAACTCACAGAGATCCGCTTGCCTCTTTTCCCGAGTGCTGGGATTAAGGGTGTGTGCCATGATATCCAACCAAATACATATTTTAATACCCAATTCTCCAAGGTTGCTTTTCTTACAACACAAGCAGGAATCTACAGCTCTACTGAAGTGCCCTACACTCAGTCACTCCTTTTCATACTTAGCCCTCCAAAATTGAATCTCCCTGGGATAGGAAATCCCTACCATCTCTAAACGACCTTCATAAAGTCCCAACATTTTACAGAGAGGCAAACAAGGCATTCCAGCAAAGGAAGACTTGACTCTGGGAATTCAGAAGGCCATGGGCCATGCCATTGGATAAGTTTCCTGTTTCCAGGATCTCCCAAGCTCCAGCTGGGCATGGTATAAGCTCCTCCCTAACTGTGTGCAGTGTAGAAGGTTGAGACATCTCTACGATGGTCTTGGGCTCACGTAGGTCCCATTTCCCATCTCAGAGCTCAGTCACGTTGCTGGCATCGAGTGTTTTCCACTTACTTCCTCTAGCCTCCAGTAGTTTCTGAGCCAGCCCCACCTCTCCCAGCCCTGATTTAAACCAGCCTTTCACTCATCTACCTGTAAGTTTCAAACACTTGCAATCTCTTCAACTCTTAGTCCAGCTACACCAGTCACCTGGCTGCCAGTCACCTGGTGCTCACCCCACCCACATAGGCCAGGCTGGCAGAGCCCTGTTCCAACCCAAGTCTTCCATGAAGAGGCTCAGTCAAGTCTCTCAAAAACCTTGGCTCAGCCTGGAAACTCTGTCTCCCCCAGCTGGCACCATGAGGTATAGCAGTTTGTGAATCAGAGGGATCCAAGAGAAGTATGTCTTTTACACTGATACTCATAGATCTCTGGTTTTGTATAAGATACACAGTGATTCCTTCTTCACCTGTGTTTTTCAATGCACCTCATGTGGAGCCCTCAGTGAAAGAGATGGGCAGGAAAAAGACAAGCAGGGGGACTATGCCTTACTTCATGTTTTAACCACAGACTCCCCACTCCAGTTGAATATAAGACATTTCATTGTGACCCCTGTGACCCTATTTCAGTCCTTCAAACAGCGCCACTGTTGAATTAAGGTCCCTGTACTCTTGGGTGTTGATTCTGTGTATGTAGCTACTCTGTGTTTATTGAGGCGTTCTGACACATGTCACTCACCAGTGGTGCTTTTAGAAGGACCAATTTTGTTTCTGCTCTGATTTTCATTTTCTGAATGTTATTTGGGGGTGGGCTTCTCAGGTTTTTGGTTTGAGGTTGGGGTTTGAGAGAAAAAAAGAGAGGGACAGAGATTGTGAAGTTTAGTGTGTAGGGAGTTGGGGAAGAATTGACAGAGGGGAAATAATATGATCAAAATATATTGTGAAAAAATTAAAGAAATTAGCAATGATAACAGTGAAATTTTATAATTAAAATTTATTTAAATTAATAAGACTAATAACAGAAAACACATTAAGACAGCTCTTCCTCTTTTCTTCCACCAAGTCCTGGGAGTGAAATTATGCCCTTGAGATGTGGATGATGGTAAAAGGACACTGTGAGGAAGCTGCTGGAGGCTTCATGCTCCTGGGGATGAGCTAGCTTCCAGCCTACTTGAGGCTGGCCTGCACTCTTTTTTTATATTTATTTTATTATATATATTTGACTTACAAACAAGATTGAATTACATGACGATCCCAGTTCCCTTCTCCCTCGCTTCCTCCTCTACCACCCCCCCCAACTAAAATCCTACCTGTCATATGTCCTTTCTTCTAATCTACACCTGACTCAAAATTTCTGCTTCCTCATGACCTCTGCATCCTTCCTTTTCTTCCCTTCTCACTCTCATAGCTTCCTCCCCCCTCTTCCCATGTTCTCAATTTGCTCAGGGGATGGTGACCTTTTCCCCTTCTCCAGGGGATAAAGTTTGTCTCTTTTAGGGTCTTCCTTGTTGACTAGTATCTCTGGCAGTGTGGATTGTAGGATGGTAATCCCTTAATCTATGTCTAAAATCCACATATGAGTGAATACGTATCATGTTTGTCTTTTTGTGATTGGGTTACCTCGCTCAGAATGGTTTCTTCTAGATCCATCCATTTTCTTGCAAATTTCAAGATTCCATTGTTTTTTTTTCTGCTGAGTAGTACTCCATTGTGTAAATGTACCACATTTTCTCTATCCATTCTTCAGTTGAGGGGCATCTAGGCTGCTTCCAGTTTCTGGCTATTACAAATAATGCTGCTATGGACATGGTTGAACAGATGTCCTTGTTGTATGAACGTGCTGCTTTTGGGTATATGCCTAGGACTGGAATTGCTGGATCTTGTGGTAGACTGATTCCCATTTTCTCGAGGAGTCGCCATACTGATTTCCAAAGTTGCTGTACAAGTTGGCACTCCCCACAGCAGTGGAGAAGTGTTTCCATTTCTCCATATCCTCCCCAACATGAACTGTCATAGGTGTTTTTGATTTTGGCCATTCTGACAGGAGTAAGATGGTATCTCAGAGTTGTTTTGATTTGCATTTCC